GAACTCTTAGTAAGATTGTGACAGAGCGACGCATAAGGTTTGCGGGACATGTTCTCCGACAAAATGAATTTCGCATAAGAAGAGTTGCTATGATATCCTATTACAACTTGGCGCCACACATTCATGGAGGTCCTCAGAGCAGGTGGGAAGAGGCTTCAGACATTACCAGTGACATATTTTTGTGGAAACACTTGACGGCAAATGCGCCGAACAGCGTGGGAGGGTTAAGTCAATAAGAATAGCACATTAGATTTTTGAAATAAAACTTTTTAATAGCAGGAAAATGCACTGTAGATACCTCAGAATATGCATTTTGTTGGCTTTCAATATCAGAAATAGTGCTTGGCGGCGGGGCTCCGCCTTGCGCTAGGGGAGCTCCTAGCGCTCCCCCACACCCTTGATGGCAATGGCGGGGGTCTACAATTTTCCCACTAAATCCAGGAAGAACCTATTCTAGGGCACAATAAGCGTCTTCCAAAAGAATGATGGGTCAGAATGTAATAAAGTTTATGTACATACACACACATACATACATATCAATATTTTTTTTTCGCGGGGGGGGGGGAGAAAAAAATCCCCCCCCCCCCCCCCGAAAAAAATCCTGGCTACGCCCATGTAGACACTAATAACTCTCTAGCTGATTGATTCTATATGCTTGAAACAAAATATTGGATACTAAATTTTAGACTGGAAGCGTGGTGTCTATTGGTAAAGCGCTTAGCTTTCGAAAAGTGGGGTCTAGAGATAGAATCTTGGTTAAAATGGACTTTTGAAATTTGCGATTTTTTAGGACGCCCCTGCCAACTTTAATAGGTACCTGACATTAGTTGGAGAAAGTAAAGGCGGATGGTCGTTGTGATGACCACATAACCCCCATCGTTAACCGTTGGCCATAGAAGCAGATAAACTTAACATCACCATCTAATAGATCGCAAGGTGTGAAAGGGCTACTTTAATTTTTTTTCTCTAAATGCTAAATTCAAAATCAGTGGCGTAACTGTGGGATGGGGGAGGGGGAATTTGAAAATCCCCTAAATGAATGTTCGAATTTTTTGTTTTTTACATTAAATATTGAATATGACGCCATTATCTCATTTCATGATGTATAATGTCCAAATGCTAGGACCCCTAAAGAGGCCAAGCCCCCAGGCACCCAAATCCCTTGCAACTCCACTGTTCAAAATATTAGATTCTTAATACTAGACTCTCAAAGCTAGTTTGTCTTTAAGCGAATTGAGAAACACTTAGCTTGGAGATTAGTGGACTACCTGGCAATGACCGGAAGTCGACCTTTAAAGTAAAGAAAAATTGTATGAAGGGAATCGACCAACTTTCTAATGGCTAAAAAAAAGACATTTTCGCACATAAATGAAATATTTTATACACTGTGTTAATCGTGTGAACTTCATTTCAAGCCGTACCTTATTGCAAATAGCATTAAATAACTACAGTCAAATCAAAACTGAAAATTAAGCATTTGAGGTGAACGGGGGCAAAGGGACGTAACTAATCCATACACTGATCTGGTTCTATGATAACAATGATTATCTCATCTTGATCTGAAGTTTACTCTTCAACCCTGGAGGTAAAAATATCAATTATTCCAGGTAAACGAGTGATGTGGGTCTTAAGGCAACTTTCACACTGGTAAGCTAATCCTTCTCAATGCACACCCTCTGTTTGCCTCTAACAGCCGATTTCCTTTTTTATCCTTGCATATTTCTTGACATTTAGTCTAGTTTTCTTCCTTACAAAAAATGCAAATCGGTATTGTATCTGTATTAATTAAAAATTAATTTAATTTTTAAAAAAAGGTTCTTCGTCCAGAAGTTTTCACAGTGATAGCATGCAAAAAATGTTTCCCTGTTTCCTTATGTATGACGTTTTTGACAGATTTATCTTCAAAATTTAAAAAAAAACAACAAAAAAAAACACACACAAAAACTCCTGATTAGTGATTATTCTTTAATATAAAAAAAAAAAAAATTAAGCTTAACCAGTAATTGTCAGGCTATATAAGCCCAGGTGGAGCAACTTTTAAGTATCGTCTTTTCTGAACTTTCATTAAAGACCATCAGCTGACCAAGTTCATCTATCCACCATGAACACTGCTATCGCTTTCTGTCTGCTGGTTGCTGGCGTCAGCGCCTCTTATGGCCCGGTAATTATAACCAAATATCTACTGCTTTAGATTTCAGAGTTGTAGTGGTTTTGTTGTATTCTTCTTAATAATTGTTGATGTGTCAAGTGGCTCTTCCTAAGTGTTCATAAATTCAGAAAAAAAGCGGGCAGGGTTCGGACCTCGTGACAATCATGACAATGTCATATATCATGTTGTGTAGTTTTCAATAGTCAGCACACGTTTCTTATTGGTTAAATTGTTTACCGCTTGAAATGAGTATTTAATTATGTTTTTACATTGCTATATTGCATTCATATAAAATTATAGTTACCCAACTAAATCTATTTTAATTTTTTTTGAAAACTTACACCAGAAGCATTGCAATCATGCTTTCCTTTATGCTGTATTAATTTAAGTTTTGGAGGCGCTGTAACTGAGTCTAAAGCTCTTGTCTTGCGAACCGGCCGCCCAGGTTCGAATCCTGGTGAAAACTGGGATTTTAAATTTCGGGATCTTTGGACGCCTCTGAATCCACCCAGTACCCGACATTAGTTGGTGAAAGTAAAGGGGGTTGGTCCTTGTGGTGGCCACATGAAAACCTCGTAAACCGTTGACCACAGAATCAGATGACCTTTACTTCATCTGCCCTATAGATCGCAATGTCTAAGAGTTATCCTACACATCTCAGACTTTCCTTCGAAACAAAATTAAGTCCTAAGTATCTAGTCATCCTGGCAGGGCCGTCTTAGGAAAAAGGCCAACAAACCAGCCTCCTAGAGCCTCCGATTGGTGGGATCTTGCATAGAACTAAAACAATTTAAAAAAAACAAAAAAACAATTCGGACCAAATCTCAAATATAGCAAAGCTCTCTATGGCTCAATGTCTGCTAGACTAGACTTACGTTTTGCCATGATTCTAGGTTTATTAACGAACGCTTAGATTTACTTGTCACACTACCAATGTGAGAAGACTCTTCAATGGGAGGTAATTTCCAGGCTGGTGCATCAAAAAAGGCAAACGAAAATCGGTTGAGCTAAATAGCAGGAAAAAGTCATGAACACGGTCACGGAAGATGTAGTTTCAAGCTATGTAGAGGAAAGTCAGTATATCGTTCGGTTGGAAAGATCTAGGCTTACGTTCATCTTCAGTCAGCAATAAAAAACGAGTCGAGAACATATTGATTGATTTCGATATAGATACAGATATGTTTTTAAATAAATTGCGTGATTTTTGCGTCTTTCTGATAATTTTATTAGGTTTTGATTTTATATTTGTAAGTAATGGTTTAGTGTTTGAAGTATTATAGCTACTTTAATTTTAGTCTCTTGATTTAGTGGTTTTAGTGATGATGACATTGTCGTCAAATGTGAATATTCGTTTCGTTTCAATCTCACGGTTTTAAATTTACGTTTGCAGAGAACAATTAACTCTTTCTCTCCGTAATTATTTCCAGTGATCCGACAGAATTATTCCTTTGTGTTCCATTGAACAGAAATACTTTTAACGAATACAAATGGACAATGCTGTTTAATGCCCTTTGTAAATTCACAGAGTGGAAACCATAAACGTATTTGAAAAATAACACTCACGGTTATTGTCTTCCTCTGCTTATATAGTGTTACAATCTGGTTTCGAAGTAACTAGTATTCTTTTTCTACTCAGTCTGACTATCTTTCTGTCTGTCTGGCAAAAATTTTTAGACACATTATTTCTCCCACACCCATTCTCTGATGAAGTTGAAACTTTGCACAATTATTTCTTGTACATGGCAAAACAAGAATTAAAAAGTAGCCAATTAGTTACTGGATATAACTTATTTTGTTTGGTATCAACAAAAGGAAAGAAATTGTACTTGACTGATGTGACGGTACAAATTGAATAAGCCCACTTTAAACTTTGTTGCTTAAAAGTTTGAAACTAACAACATTAGCAATAAAACTTCTAATCTCATAAGCATTTCGCTGGAACAGTGGCTAAAGCATTGGCTTGAACCCTCGAGTTCAAAGTTAAGTAATACAACTTTTTTTTAATAAAATAAATTTTAAAAGCGATCACGGTAGCCTTCACACATATACCATCTTCTTTATTCAGACAATTACACTTAATATAAGCTTGTTTTAAAAAAAAGTTTTTATATTATTGTTATTGTATTTGCTCGAGGTTAAATATTTGTAAACACCATATTTATGTCAAGAAAAAAAACTTGATGCGTAATTACCCTATCTTCTCAAAAGTAGCACAGGATATACATTGTATTTTTTTTTTATCCGTTAGACCTTTGGAAATTATAATTTTTTAAAACAAGAAAATGTCGAATGACAAATAATAGAAGAGAATATTAACAAATAATTAAAAAAAACTGAAATAGAGTATACTGCTGCCCATAACTATAAACCTGTCAAATTTAATTTCACAGGTGTACTACGGAGACCAGGCTTACCAAGGAAACAATGGTTACTCTGCTGGAAAAAATGCCTACCCCATCAGCAATTACGCAAGCAACAACGGTTACCAAAGCAACAATGCCTACCCTAGCTACGCTCCCTACCCAAAAAGCAATGTCTATTACAACAGCAATAACTACCAAAACAACAATGCTTACCAAAGCAATGCCTACCAAAGCAACAATGCCTACCCAAGCAATGCCTACCCCAACAAGAAAGCTTATGAATACAACGTCTACCCTAGCAGTGCTAGCTACGCCAGCGCCTCTGTCTACGCCAGCAAAGACAGCTACGCCAGCAAAGATAACTACCCCAGCGCCTCTGTCTACGCCAGCAAAGATAACTACCCCAGCGCCTCTGTCTATGCCAGCAAAGATAACTACGCCAGCGCCTCTGTTTACGCCAGCAAAGATAGCTACCCCAGCGCCTCTGTCTATACCAACAAAGATAACTACGCCAGCGCCTCTGTCTACGCCAGCAAAGATAGCTACGCCAGCAAAGATAACTACCCCAGCGCCTCTGTCTATGCCAACAAAGATAACTACGCCAGCGCCTCTGTCTACCCCATCAAGAAAGCTTATGAATACAACAACGTCTACCCTAGCAGTGCTAGCTACGCCAGCGCCTCTGTCTACGCCAGCAAAGACAGCTACGCCAGCAAAGATAGCTACCCCAGTGCCTCTGTCTACGCCAACAAAGATAACTACGCCAGCGCCTCTATCTACGCCAGCAAAGATAACTACGCCAGCAAAGATAACTACGCCAGCAAAGATAACTACGCCAGCAAAGATAACTACGCCAGCAAAGATAACTACGCCAGCAAAGATAACTACGCCAGCAAAGACAACAACTACGCCAGCAAAGACAACTATGCCAGCAAAGATAACTACCCCACCGCCTCAGTCTACGCCAGCAAAGACAACTACGCCAGCAAAGACAACTACGCCAGCAAAGACAACTACGCCAGCAAAGACAACTACGCCAGCAAAGACAACTACGCCAGCAAAGACAACTACGCCAGCAAAGACAACTATGCCAGCAAAGATAACTACCCCACCGTCTCAGTCTACGCCAGCAAAGACAACTACGCCAGCAAAGACAACTACGCCAGTAAAGACAACTACGCCAGCGCCTCTATCTACGCCAGCAAAGACAACTACGCCAGCAAAGACAACTATGCCAGCAAAGACAACTACCCAAGCGCCTCTGTCTACGCCAGCAAAGACAACTACGCCAGCAAAGACAACTACGCCAGCAAAGACAACTACGCCAGCAAAGACAACTACGCCAGCAAAGATAACTATGTCAGCAAAAATACTTACGCCAGCAATGTTTACTAGGCTGTACAACCTAAACACTATACTAATGGAGGTAAGAAATACTTTGTTTTGAAGCAGTTCTAATATTAGAGCTACACTTCTTTTTTTATTTATTGGAGATTTTCATGATCGATTTAAAACAGAGTAATCTCCTCTTAGTTTAAATGTTACTTCCATCCGGTTTATATTTTACTTTATATTACCAAAGCAATAAAATATTAAGTAACAGAGAAAGAAGAGAAAGCGATATAGACAAATGTGTGAGCGATGTAAGCTAATTAACGTAATATGTAAAATTTGATATTTGAAAAACTGAACCCATGCACAGTATGCGTTATCAATAGGGCCGGGCTTATACTTGATAAGGCCCTAAGCGTTTGTTGTTGTTTTTTAATGGGGACCCTAGTTTGTTTGTTTGTTTTTTCTTACAAATGATTGAAAATATCTTTAACAAGTATGCTTGTGTTTCCTATAGGTAAATCCAAAACGATAATTAATTGTATGGTAAATGTGTGGAGGCGCTGTGGAGGAGCGCTAAAGCGCTTGGTTTCTGGTGATGACTGGTATTTTTAATTTTGGGATCTTTGGGGACCTCTGAGTCCACCCAGCTTTAATGGGTGCCTGACATTTGGTGGGTAAAAGTTGGTCGTTGTGCTCGCCACATGACACCCTCGTTAACCGTAGTCCACATAAACAGATGACCTTTACGTCCTCTGTCCTATAGACCACAAAGTCTGAAAGGGGAACTTTATTTTACTGTACGTGAGGGTATAAAAATATACGTGTGTAACAGTGAAACCCATTAGAAGAAAAACTGGTTATAGATTCGTAAATTATTAGTACAAAGATAAATAACTTATACATTTAGAATAACTACTCTTTGTTTTCATTTCAGATGAGGTCACTGCACTTTGAAGTCGTTAACTCTGTACTGACCGCACCATGTGTTGTACTCTTTTTAAACAATAAATATAAGTTGTAGTTAACCTCTGTGTTTCTCGTTGTACATGTGTTATAATCATTGCATATTTTGATTTGTTTCTCATATACAACTAGAAGGAAATGCGCCTCCACACACTCCCAAGAGTGGGAGAACTAACTCACAAATAAACTCTGCACTCTATCCAGAAGAAATGAAGAGATTAATTGTAAATAAAATAAATGAGAAATGGACGAGCTCTCATCTAAATCACAAGAAAGATGATGCTTACTATAAGCTATCCCGACAACTCAACGTCTAATCTTTTGACTCAGGACCTGACACAAAAGAATGAGACAACATTTGTACCTGAAGCTCAAAATTGGAACCAGTGAAATCTGCCCATGTGGAGTGTCAGCAGAGAATGCTGACCATGTCCTCCAAAACTGCTCTCTTTACCAAGAGGCCCGTACAAGACACTAGCCCCAAATCACCCCAATAGAAAGGAAACTATATGGAGAGCTCCCTGATTTGGAAACCACTGCGCAGTTCATCTCATGTATTGGTCTAGTCATCGGAACACTCCAACATAACAATGAGAACGAAGAAGAAGATTTGTTTGCTAACATTGATGGGCAATATTACTCCAGTGGCTCAACCTCATTAGCCGTGGCCACAGAAGAAGGAATTAAACTGTAAGTAAATTTCCCCTTTCAGACCTTGCGATCTATAGGGCAAATGACTTTAAGGTCATCTATTTCTAAGGCCGACTGTAAATGTAAACGAAGGTGTCATGTTACATGCCCAACGCCCAACCGCCTTTACTTTTCCCTAACTGATGTCAGATACCCATTAGAGCTGGCTCGACTCTGGTACACTATTTAGTTTAGGCTACCCATAAAACTGTACCAATGGAACTACAACTTTGTGTGTCAAAGAAATAAAATTCGCAATATTACAGCAGTGGTTCATCAAGAATTGAATAATTAAATTCTTAAATTGTGAATGAACTTTTTGATTTTTAAGAATTACTTCAACACGTGCCGCGGGCCGGATTAAGCCTTTCAGCGGGCCGGATCTGGACCACGGGCCGTAGTTTGTCCATCACTGGCTTAGGACATTGCCTAATTATCTTCTGTTTTGATGCAAGGGACGTAATGTAGATGAAAAGCTAAACCATACCGAATAAAAACCTTAAATTCTTCATACAATTGCTGCATGTATTTATATGCATAACGTAATTCAAATCTGAAGCCTAAATCTACTGTCTATCTGTCATTTCTATCATATTTTAGGTTACGATCATTCTTCATAATAAAACAAAAAAAATATTTTCCACGGTTGAGTTAAAATTTCAAGAAAACATTAAAACATATGACTACTTCTATAAGATCGAGGTTTATATCTTAAATTGTTCAGTCAAATCGATAGAAAATGTTCTTTTTTTTTGGAGGATCATTTAAAATTTCTTTAGCCTCAACGACCAAAATGTTTTGAGACTTCCGTTTAATACACGAATACAAAGTAAACAACCACCCAAAACATCTCGAAGTTCCACGCTTAACTGTTGGAATTGTCGAAGCGAATTAGCAAATGAAATTTCAAAGAAGAAAAATGAACACTTAAAGCAGCCGAATAAACATTTGAAGTAGCCAAATGAACAATTGAAGTAGCCAAATGAATATTAAAGTAGTTAAATTAACAACTGAAAAAGCCAAATGAACAATAAAGTAGTCAAATAAACTGCTGTAGTATCCAAATGAACACCCGAATCAACCAAATAAATTCTTGAAGTACTTCAAATGAACACTTGATGTAGCCTAAGAACTCTTGAATTAACATAATGAACTATGAATTAACATAATGAACTATGAATTAACCTAATGTACTCTTGAAGTACTTCAAATGAGCACTTGGATTAGCCAAATGAACACCTTAAGTAGTCAAATGAACACCTTAAGTAGTCAAATGAACACTTGAAGTAGTCGTCTTGCCCCGTATTACTATTTTAAGGGTGATCTACCATGTTTTCAAATAATGTTTGTAATATATACAAAAAAAGTGCTTCCTGTACAATTACCTTAAATAGAGCACTGAAGTTCTACATTCTCCCAGGCACTTGGAACTTTTTAGGGGCGTTCGTGGACACCAGTTAGTCATAACTTATTTATTTAGAACTAGTCGACCGGTGGAGTAGCATACGCCGCTATTTCGCAGGGCCGGCCTTAGGCCACTGCAACCTGTGCGACCGCAGCGTTAATCTAAAAATACTTTAATAAGATCACAAATTACGTAAAAATCCTATTTTCCAATTCTCTTCATATCCATCCCTTACGGCTTCCACCATTTGAATCCCACTTCCATTCAATATCCAAATTCGCACCATTTTCATTCACACTATGCTGCGCTACGACCGTAACACAGACATAAGAGAGTGATCTTCCCTTTACTTGTTCTTCTCATTCAAACTCTTGAGGGAAGAGGAGAATTATATATTTTAGAATTAGCTTCACTCCTGCTGATGCTGGGTTATTTTTCCTTGCCACGGATGTAAAGTTATTGTAAATAATACTATAACATTCCACCAAATCATAAAACATAACCATAAAACACTGAGCCATAATCATATATGGCTGTATCATATAAGATAAGATAAGATAATCTTCAAATGCAAAAACAAAATCTAATAAAATACTCAGTAAGACACATTCCTCGTCCCATATGCTAGGACAAATTTGTACAAATGCTCCTTCTTCCCTAGTGCTATTAGAGTTTGGAATGGGTTGCCTGAGCTAGCCAGGAAAACCAGTGACTAAGCAGAATTTAAGTCATTGGTTAATATGCATGACTAAATGCATGACGCGTTAGACGTAATCATCTTTTTTTTTTTGAAGTAACGTCTGTATTATATAAGATAAGATAAGATAGAGTTCTGCTATTTTGAGAACGAGGCTAGCAGACATAGAGCCTTAGAGTTCTGCTATGTTGAGAACAAGGCTAGTAGACATAGAGCCTTAAAGTTCTGCTATGTTGAGAACGAGGCTAATAGACATAGAGCCATAGAGTTCTGCTATGTTGAGAACGAGGCTAGCAGACATAGAGCCATAGAGTTCTGCTATGTTGAGAACGAGGCTAATAGACATAGAGCCTTAGAGTTCTGCTATGTTGAGAACGAGGCTAGTAGACATAGAGCCATAGAGTTCTGCTATGTTGAGAACGAGGCTAGTAGACATAGAGCCATAGAGTTCTGCTATGTTGAGAACGAGGCTAGTTGACATAGAGCCTTAGAGTTCTGCTATGTTTAGAACGAGGCTAGTAGACATAGAGCCATAGAGTTCTGCTATGTTGAGAACGAGGCTAGTAGACATAGAGCCATAGAGTTCTGCTATGTTGAGAACGAGGCTA